TTAAATCTTGAGTTATAAAGCTTGAAAGTTGGAGTACTGTCGGCATTAAGATCATCCAAGGTGTTCAAACACTAGCTAAAACCTTTTGAATGTTGTTCAGGATCATGACATTGACAAAGGCCAATGATCACCTTAGATGATGCTAATGCCGACAGTACTCCAACTTTCAAGCTTCATAACTCAAGATTTATTTCATAAAAAAATATTTTATTTATGTGTTTTGGAAAGTTCTCGAGGCGTGCTATAAGAACATGTAATGAAAAATTGGGGGTTCCATTTAAAAAATTCAAAGTGACCTTGTCTGACCTTGACGACGCCACTTAGGGTCAAACCAATGTTATTATCTTATGTCCCCTTCGAAGTCCGAAAACTTTTGTCTGAAAAATTTTTCTCTCCCGGGCTTTATTTTCGAGATATTCGACTGGATAGATTAAAATGGTCCACCCTGTATATGTATATATATAACTGATTTTTTTTAATCAGTCAAAATTCGCGATTTTATTGAAATCTCATTTTTTAAACAATAAAGCTTTTTAAATATAGAATAAATAAAAGCAAAAATGTAAGATCATATTGGAAAGAATATATAATTCCTTTGTACAAAGTATCATTAGCTCAGCATTAGCGTATGTATAAGTCTGAAGTGCTAGGGATCTCAGGTTCAAATCTCGAATATCTCGATGTATTTTCAAAAATTGTAAACCTGCGTATAAATTGTAATTAGTAATACTAAAAAACATGGGAAACAAACTCTAAACAAAATGGGAATTAAACTCTACAAATAATAATATGTAATTATAAAATTTAAAAAAAAATTTTTTGTTAAAATATTATAGCAACCCACATGGAGTATCACATCGTCTATACTACTACTAAGTATTCGTCAATACTAAGTATTGGCCAATTTAGTATTGCTAATACTAACAAGGGGAACACCAGACATGGCCCCCTCCGATTTGGCTAAATTTTATACACATAATAGTTCACCCCTCCCACTAATTCGTGCTAAAAGGATACGACGCACCTCTCAAGCATTCGTGAGAAAAACGGNTTTAAACTGAGTCGACAAGGCACACAGGGGATA